CGGGCCCAGCCGCTCCGCGGCATGTGGGATCTTCCCGGACCGGGGCGCGAACTCGCGTGCCCTGCATCGGCAGGCGGACTCGCAACCACCGCGCCACCAGGGAAGCCCCAATGAATGATTCTTTCCTCCCCTCACTGGCTTATACTCTTTGCCATGTGACATTTACATGAAGGGCTTTTAAAATGCTCTCTTTCCTACTTATGACGCTCATATTTTGTACCGTCTACAACAAATCATCTTAGAGAAAGGATATCACAGAATCATTAGTTTGCCTTTTTTCAGAGAAAAAAGTGGCCATGTAAGCGACAAATTATAGCCCCTAATGTACTGTGATTACATCCTGCTTGTGAAAACACAATATAGGTACAAAAAGGGAGTTGGTGGCCAAGGGGGTCTGCAGTTTGGATACATCAAATTGAGTGGAAACAACAGCAAACCATCTGCAGCAGCAGGGAGACTGGTAATGAAACAATGAGCACCATCGTGATGAGGAATCATCGCTTCCACTGGCAGAAAATGCAGACAGCAGTCCTCCTGATGACGCGCTAGACCAGAGACATGGGTGGGGTAGGGTGACCAGCGTTCCAGAATCATCTGGGGCTTTCTTTGCAAGAAGCACCTCATGCACACACCCCCGTGCTGCTCCCGTATCCCCACGGAAGCCAGGTTGTCAGGGTTCCCGGGTCACATGAGGTTTCATTCCTCCTTTCCTCACTTACTGTGTGTGTGTTCCGACACCTGTGATTTGACCATCCAAGACTAGCAAATTCCAAGAGCGATAGTTTACATGGAAGAGAGAAGTCGTTACTTAGATAGATTTCTTTCCATTTTGCGCCCAAGTTTCATGATCTTCATTGTTCTTTATTTATAAGGACTCCTTTAGGAAAATCATAATTTTTGGAGTGGCTCAAACTGATCTATCAAAAAACATGCACACGGCTTAATTGTAACTTGACTTGTATTGTACTTAACGTGTAATGGAGAAATTGCTTGATTTACTGCTGGTGAGACCCACTTTACAGGTCGGTCCAAATTCCTTCAGAGAAAGCAGGTCTATTTGAAGGAGACAGACACACAGACTTTCAGAGAAGTAAATATTAAACTACCCACATATCATTACATTTTATACTTAGAAATCAATGCATTTTTGTTCATGAGTTTGTGTTGGAATCAAAGCATTAAAAGAACACTTCTCCCTAATTTTCAGTTTTCCACCAGATAAAGATAATCATTTGTGTTTTTACTTCAAGATGCCAGTGACGCGCTACGCGGCTGGATTTCTCCAACCTAAAGTAGCAATGGGAAGTGTTAAGGATGCCTGTTCACTGTGTCGTCCTCTTCCATTTCAGCTCGCAGACATGGGATATCGGAATATTGGACATCTTTGGTTTTGAAGAATTTCAGAAGAATGAATTTGAACAAGTAAGTGAGTTTCTTTTGAAATTTTGTTAACTTGAATGATCTTTTCAACTAATAAGGCATCTCTCTTTAATTCAGTAAAGGCTATTTGCACTATTTCTTGGGAATATGTAACTAAAATAAGGAAATAAGGACTCTGCAGTCCTGTTTTAAATTAATGTTCCAGGTTTGTTGACATAGTCATCTTTTTTTTTTTTTTTTTTTTTTTTGGGCAGGCTGGTGGTGATTGGAAGCAGGGGCTCTGTAGTTTCAATGCTTTTTTTCAGTGCCATCTCTATCACCCACCATCTCTGAGACCTAGAGTCCATTACTTTTTTTAATCTTTTTTTTTTTTTTTTTTCGGGTACGCGGGCCTCTCACTGTTGTGGCCTCTCCCGTTGCGGAGCACAGGCTCCGGACGCGCAAGCTCAGTAGCTGTGGCTCACGGGCCCAGCCAGCCACTCCGCGGCATGTGAGATCCTCCCGGACCAGGGCACGAACCTGTGTCCCCTGCATCGGCAGGCAGACTCTCAACCACTGTGCCACCAGGGAAGCCCCTAGTCATCATTTTTATGTGGTCTTGTAAACTGGCATAATCCTTTTTTTTTTTAAACAGAGGCACTTGTTTTAAAAGACGGCGTTAGATGAAACCAGAGTTATGCTTATGGAAATGCCATTTCAGCAGGGTCAGAGACTCGGAGGGTGTCTCTATTTGAAATCAGTTTGAAGGTCTTTAGAAACTCCAGCCAAAAATCAGGATGGAAATACTTTCTCATGCTAAATGCTCTGATTTGTAGTTTCAACTTTACGTGACATGCGTACATATGACTATGGCCAACTCATAAAAGTACATAACAGAGGTGTTGATTATTTTTAATCTATTTACAATTTAGGGCACTTGTAAAAGCACTAAATTCTTTAGGTATCTTAATAGTATAGTACGAATAGTTTAATCGAATTAAGTATATCTAAAAATTAAGGGCTAAGGGTAGGAATAAAAGTTGCTTTAGCAGAGAAGGAAAACTAAACCTGTAAGATGGTACAGGTGGGAAGAGAGAAAACCATGCTGCATTAAATTACATGAATTTCAAGTATACAGTGTTTAGAGTGGTTACTGGCACTGGGTAAGGAATTAAATAGAATGAGGTTGAAACCCAGTTCTGCGACTTGTACTAGGAGAGCTGTCCTGGCCAAGATGAGGAATCTATAATATCCTTATCTGTAAAGTCAAGATGGTAATAGACCTACGGAGCTGTGAGAGTGAACAAGGTGACTGTTAGGTTCTGGTGTCATTTTCCAGCTCACTGTACACACGTAAGAAATGGTGGGTAGCTACCTTCGCTGCTGTCAATGGCAACACCTGAAAACCTTTTCAGATTTGGCCTTTTTTCCCCTAAAAAAGTGGTTCAGGGTCCTCTGAGTAGATCTTAATCATGCCAACTCACTTAATCTGGGGTGAATCATCGTGAATCATTTCTCTACAAAACTTTACAGGAAGTCTCGCCTAAAATAAGAACAATGAGACCAGAGATTTGTTCTCCCTTCGTGATGCTGTGTCCACGGATTAATGGAAAAGGGAGGACTTTGTGGTTCTATTTATTTACTGCTTATTATTAAGAAAAATAGTGATGAACATAGGAAGAGGGCAGTTGAAAGAGTCACCAGCAGGATGTCCAACAAGAAGCATAGGTCTGCAGGCTGCTTCCGGTGACGGATTTCTCAGTGCAAGTGTTCGAATGTGGTCTGGCAGTCTTATTGATTCCTTCCATTTTTGCGTTAGAAAATATGCAGGCTCGGGTCTCTAGTGAGACTCACGGTTTCTGCATCTCCCGGTTAAGTGACATGCAGAAATCACAAGTGGGAGGGTGTCTGCAAGGGCTGGGCTCCCAACCTCCTGCTCCAGACCCAGACTCAGTATCTATCATGTCTGTGCCGGCAGCTGAAATGTGCAAAACATTTATGTTATCTCCTGATTAAAACTTACTCATTTACTATAATTACGTATACCCCTTATCATTCTTTCTTGCTGTTAAATATTTTAATTATATATTTTAGAATATATTCATGACCTGAGATTTTTATGAACAAAGAATGGCATTTTAGATTTTAGATTTTTCAAATCTAAAAAACAAGTCTCTGTTAAATACTAAGAGCTAGTTTTAGGTACTTATGGGTAAAAGCTCAAGACCAATTTTTAGACCTTGATTACAAAAACAATAAATATTTTTAAAGATGTACCTTTAGTTTGCTTGGCAGGTTTGTCACGCACGTTTAGCAGGTTTGCTTAATTATTGGGCGCAATATACCCAGGGACCATTTAGAAGGATAAAATGATTTTCTTTGTGGGTAGTCCAAATCTCATCTTACAGGGTATTTAGCAAATTCCTAAATTTGCCTGTGAGCTTTCTAAAGGCCATTGATTTGAATGATACATTCTAGATTCTTGAGTTGCTAATAGAATGGCGAACGTCCTCATTTCTTATTCCACTGAAAACTTGCAACAGAATGGTTAGCAGATCAATATTATATTCAGAATCAAACCCAGAAGAATATTAGTGCCTCTATCGGCTATTCAGTAGAACTTCCACGCCCACAGGGCTGCAGTTGGGTGTGGTACCGCGGTGTGTGTATAATAGGAGCTTAACAAATGCGTTTCAACTGATATTTAGAGTAAACTCATAGGGAAAAAACCTTTAGTGGATTTTCTAGGGGCTTCTCTTGCTCAGGAATAAATGTATACTGCTTGACAATCATTCATCCATAAGAAATTTGACGAACAGGGACAATCTGAGGAGACACTAAGAAGGACGCCAAAGCATCAGCACGTCCAACCTCAGTTTGCGCAAGTAGCTCTAAATCATTAGATGGAAGCTTGTGATACTTTAAATGAGAATTTGTTTCAGCTCATAGGAAATGCTAGTCCTGTTTTCCCTGACTTTTAATAAGTCTCTTCTATTCAGAAGAGACTTATTATATATTATATAATATATTATATATTATAAGAGACTAATTTATATATTATAAAAAGATGATTTTTAGAGTAAAAAATGGAATATAATGTATAACTCAACAGCAGTTTAATGCTTCAATGGAGGGGGCGCTAAATTATCTGAGTTCCAAAGTACAATTCCGGAGGCTCTGAATCTGTCGCCCTGATGAGTTATGTAATTACATCATTACCAGGTCTTCTCTGCCACGTGATACTTACATCTCATGAATTCTCATTTCCTTTATTATGTATCTAGCACTATAAACGTATCTCCTAATGCCCTAAAAGAAAAGCCTCTCTGATCACCTCTTCAACTTGACCCAGCCAGGGAATTCCATTTATGATGCTTGATAATCAGAAAGAAAACAGCCAAGACAAAAGTTCCCTTACACATCGCAGTGCCAATGATATTAGAAAAGTGAAAGCGATTCAAGGCACAATGTGGGAAGGAGAGGCAAAAATCCTTTTAGTTCCAGAGACTATTAATATTTAGAAAGCTGAAAAGAAAGAATGAAACATTACTACACACGATGTGAGAATTTGATAAAGTAGCCAGTTGTAAATCAGCGTGCAAAAGACTTTTATATGTTCTGAAAATAGTTTATCAGAAGACATAGAGGGAAAGAAGAAAACATTTACATAGTCAAAACTTAGGAAATAGCCTAAATGAGGGCTAAAATACTCCCGAAGGTTGCATAATTACAGTTAAAAGTGGAAAGATATGCTGCATTCCTAGAAAGGCTTGATAGTACAAAGATCCTGATTCTCCCTAAGTTAATTTATAAATATAACCTGATGCGGTCTCACTACAAATAAATGAAGAATGAGTGACAGAATTAGAGCAAGTCAGTTCTTCAGCTCCTAAGAAGTAATGAATCTATGCAATGAGTATCAATCACAGCTAACACTACAAGAAGGGTGACAGTATACCAGATGCATATCAAGTGTTCTTGCCAAGAAAGAAAGAAAAGAAGGAAGGAAGGAAGGGAGGGAGGGAAGGAGGGAAGGAGGGAAGGAGGGAGGGAGGGAGGAAAGAAGGAGGAAGGAAAGGAGAAAACCTGGATATAATGAAAGGTGTTGATGTAACTACTAATTAACAGAAACTGAGGACAGAGAAACATGATAAACTAAACCACGAGAATTCACTCTGAAAACTCCAGACTGTGAGAAACAGTACAGGAAAAATGACCTGATTTCTTCAACATAAAAAATGCAAGGATAAAAATATAAAAGAACAAGGTGCCTGGTAGATTGAAAGAGATCTAGGAGACAAATAAATCAATTAAATGTATGGACATTATGTGGATCCTGATTTGCTTAAGTATAAAAAATTATGAGTTAATTAGTGTAATGTGAAATCTGGACATTTGACAAAATTTAAAAAAAATTATCCTTGATAGAAATTATGTGACATAAAGGTACTATGGAGATATTTTTTAAAGTCCTTGTAGCTTAGAGAATTATACTAAAATATTTGCCAATTAAATGACACAATGTCTGAGAATTGCTTCAAATGAATTTAATTTTGAGGGTAATATGGAAATGGATAAAGCAGAATTGGCCATGAGGTGGTAATTGTTGATAATTGTTGAAGTTGGTTGATGGCAGATGAGGTTGAGGTTTATTGCATTATTCTCTTCACTGTTGAATATGCTTAAAATTGTCCGTAATATCCATGTACACCTCAGAGATTTGCAGGTTCGGTTCCAGACCACAGCAGTAAAGGGAATATGGCAATAAAGCTAGTCACATGCATTTTTTGGTCTCCCAGTGCATATGAAAATTATGTTTTTACACTATACTGTAGTCTATTAAGTGTGCAATAGCATTACGTCTAAAAAAATGCACATCCCCTAATTATAAAGACTTTATTTTGCTAAAAAACTCTAACCGTCCTCTGAGCCTTCAGCAAGTCTTAGTATAAACATCAAAGATCACTGATCACACATCACCATAGCAGATATAATAATAATAATAAAAGCTGGAAATATTGCAAGGATTACCAGGACGTGATACAGAGACAGGAGATGATCAG